CAGCTTCAAATGGAACATGATACTACATCAACAACCCACCTTTCAGATTTGCTCTGTTTACAAGTCAAAACATGACTTTTACACTAACAGGTTCCACCAAGTGTGAGAAATGAAATCAAACCGCCTGCTTTTCTTGCTCAATACACTACCACCCACAAGAACTCTAGATTCTAAGATTAAAACTTCAACTTCAGTAAGCAGAATTCTGATGACATAAGAGGAATAACAGGGCACCTTGTTTCAGGCAATGCCAGCAGCATTAAACAATGATAAAACACTTATTTTAGACCCCAAACCAAGAAGGTAATTAACAAATTCCTTCCCATTGAACTCGTTCCCTGGTCAGAGTCCCTGTGAGGGACAGGCAATTACGGCTGACCTCCACTTCGCTACCATGGACTGAACAAGTCTCGATTCCCTTTTAGGAATAATAGATTCTGCCGTGCCCTCAGATCACGGGTCACAGACACCAGGGGCAATCTTTTTAACTTTCCTGTTGGTTTAGTAATGCACTAGGAGCGTCCAGGTTTCCGCACAGAGACCCGCACTCGTCTCCACACTTGTTCACAAACCTGAGAACAGCACCTCGGCACCATTCCAGAGTTCTGCCATGGGGAAATGACACATAAATAGTAAAGGAAGCGATGAACAGAACAGACCCAGCAAGAAAAGTACTTCTTCAGATGATGAAATGTTACAAATAAAAAAAAGTCAAACACTAACGCGGCAAAAAAATGGAGATTATTATAGGGGTCGGCCCCATGGCCGAGTGGTTAAGTTCGTGCGCTCTGCTTCGGTGGCCCAGGCTTTCGCAGGGTCGGATCCTGGGCGCAGACATGGCACCACTCATCAAGCCATGCTGAGGTGGCATCCCACACAGCACAACCAGAGGGACCTACAACTAGAATCTACAACTATGTACTGGGGGGCTTTGGGGAGAAGAAGAGGAAAAAAAATGAAGACTGGCAACAGATGTTAGCTCAGGTGCCAATCTTTAAAAAAAAAATATCTAGTTTCTATTAAAAAAAAGGAGGTTATTATATATTTTAACATAAAGTAACTTGAAATAATTCTCAGTTTGTTGGTAAAATATAACACAAGGCCAAAAGAAGTTTGTTAGCAGACTAGTAAAAGAAAAGTAAATTAGATTCATACCTAATATGAAGAGGAAATAGACCACAGGCTGTCAAAAATAATACGTGTGAAGCTCTGGAAAACATCTGGTAATAGGTTATTTGGCAATATGAAAAAGAATTAATATGAAATTTCAGAAATTTGATGACAAACTCTCCTGAAAAATTCCCAACCCTTGCCAGAGACTTCACAGGAACATCAGACCAGACACGTGAAAGATTTCTCCACACATCACAGCAAGAGCACCCCCTTTTTCAGGATGAGACTGAGAAACGACAGCTGCAGTGCGTGGTCTGGAAGGCAGGGTGCATGCTGCCAGGGGGTGCACAGGACAGCCTACTGGGTGCAGGAGGAAAATACCAGGACTTTCCTCGGGGTACACTTTATGCCATCCTTAATTTCTATTTTTACGTCTCATAATGTACATAATACTTTAGTACACCAGTATATAACTTAACATACATACGAATTTGCAATACGGAATTTGTGTTCAAAAACTTTTACTGATCGATGTGTGTTTTCAAAAAGGTTGGAGACTGCTTTTCTGAAATGTTAACGAGTGCCTCTAATGTGCTTAAATTCACTAGAAAAATACAAAACTGCCTTCTGGAACTTTAGAATCTATAGCACAAATTTTGAGCTCAGGATGAAACAATGTCATTAGACCAGAAATCCTACAATGCAGGTATGAACGGAATTGAAGTGACACTATCTATAGCCTGTGGTTACAGCTCCAGAATTGCAAGCCTCTGATTTATTTTCCCCTCCAGGCCTAAGAGACACACAGTGTGGAGAAAACTAGAAGTTGTGACAGGTAAATAGGTTCAACAGTCAGGCAAGGTTTCTTGGATCTCTAATAAAGTAGGAATTCTTCCAGTTAAAAAAGAATCTGTCCTCTTACCACATAGGCTCATGGGCTTACTTTCCCCATAAAAATCTTAAGAAAAAAAAATTCTACCTATATTAGGACCATCAAAATGTGAAAAAATTAAACCTCTATTTTAACCCTAAGAAGTTTAAGGATGACCTTTTGAGGGTTTCTAGACTCTTTTCTTCCATTATGTATAAATTTTAAAAATCAGTGGAAGTTTCCACCCTTGTTTGAACACACACAATATGCTGTAACATCACAAAAGCACTGTGATACAACATTAAAGAAAAGATTACTAAAGTCAGATGCAATTTTAATTTTGTATTTTTAAAAATAAGCATGTGAACAAGAAAAACAATTAGAAATAATGTGAAAATGGATCCGAGGGTAAAATCAATGCAGTGGTCTGGTGGCTGAGTGAGCGCCTCTGAGCCAACTGTGTGCACCCTTCTCAACTCCAAGGTGGGGGCTTAAAATCAGCCACAGGAGGAGAAATTTACGTCATGGAAAGTGGCAAATGCTACAATTTAGGGCTTTTTTCCCCCTTCAGAGAGCCTGGTTGTTAAACATTTTCCACCATATGACTGAGTAGAGATGGGCCAGAGCAGATGAAAAGCTAAGATAATCACAGAAGACACCTCAAAAACTCATTCAATCTGCTCCCCAGCCTTAACCTGGGCTCCTTTTTCAACAGCATTCATTCTGGCAAAGTGACTAGTGATGGATTCCAGCTCCAGCTCCCAAACGTAAACCTCTCCAGGGAATACCGATCTTAAGTGGGATGCTACCTTTTGATGATCTGCGGGTGTTTGGAAAGAACATGACGCTGAGACTTTTCCAGGAAGGAGGGAGTGAGCAAACAGGATGGTCGGCCTCACACACTCGAGCTAAGGTTGTAAACTTTCACTTAAAAAAGGAAACACACACACACACAAGCTTCCCCAGAGGAGCTGGTCTCAGGGAGACGCAGCTCTTCACCGCGTCCTGAGGCCCACGCCTCTCGGATGCTTCCGGGATGGGTCCACAGAGGACCCCCCAGAACTCGTTCCGAGAAGCTGCTCTGACTGAGTCTGAATGGTGCCCTCGGCTCCCAGGTGGCCCTGTGCCAAGACAGTCAATTATCAAAGATGTCATCTGTGAAAACAAATCAATGGCTTTTCTCCTTTAATTCAAAAAGATAAAACACTTTTTGTGCTTTCAAAATTTAAAATATCTAGTTAAATCAAGCTATCAATATTTACTTATTTAATGTACAAAATGTTAATTAGCCTAAGAAAACTATTCCAAAGTGCTGCTGAGAGGTCTAAGTTCAAACAGGCATGCAAACTAAATGATTTGATACGGGAAACAGTCCAGTCTGTCTGTTCCCCATCACGAACTCCACCTTCTGACACCACTATTGCACGTCTCAGGGACAGAACTTCCAGCTGACAGCCACAATGAGGCAGTCACAGGTCTCCAACACGACACAGAGAAAGGCAGCTCCCTGAATGCTGTCCCTCGGCCACTAACGAGCTCGCCTCGGCAGCTCACGCTAGAGCTTCCCCACACTGCATACGCACAGTGAAAGGGAACATTAGCCTCTGGAAGAAGCTGGTTTTGTATCAGTGTCATTCGCAGCTCTCAAGTCCTTACTCCCTCATTCCATTTAAATTCATATGATTCAATCATAGGAACTATTTCTAGGATTCAAACATTAGTTTAATGGACGAGGTGGTGGTGGTGGAAGCAGTAGCAGTATATAATCTAATTCTGGACTTTGAAGCCAAGTTTTTCAAAAGATTCCACTGTGATGTTGTATCAATTCAGTTTGGGGGCATCAACAAATCTGTCTGTACCTGGCATTGATTACCACACGGTAATGTTTCATAAATTTGGTAATGCAGAGACAAAGGCCTAAATTTTTCATACTAATATGAATAATCCAATCCCTAAGTAGGAGCATTTCCAAGCGAACTCTGCTCCTCCATAATTAAAAAAAAATTCAAGGAAATAAGCACATCTGGGGCCGCCGGCCTGGAGTCCGAGTGGTTAAGTTTGCACGCTCCGCTTTGGCGGCCCGGGGTTTCGCCAGTTCAGATCCTGGGCGCGGATACAGCACCGCTCATCAGGCCACGCTGAGGCGGCGTCCCACATGCCACAACCAGAGGCACGCACAACTAGAATATACAACTATGTACTGGGGGGCTTAGGGAGAAGGAAAAATAAAAAAGATGGGCGACAGAGGTTAGCTCAGGTGCCAATCTTTAAAAAAAAAAAAGAAAGAAGTACATCTTTAGCTCACCACGGATTTGAGGCTTCATTTTGTTTTGCATTTTCCTAATCACATCGTTAAAACTATCACGGGCTGGCCCAGCGGCACAGTGGTTAAGTTCGCATGCTCCGCTTTGGCAGCCCAGGTTCAGGGGTTTGGATCTCAGGTGCAGACCTACAAACCACTCATCAAGCCATGCTGTGGTGGCATCCCACATACAAAATAGAGGAAGATGGGTACTGTTGTTAGCTCAGGGTGAATCTTTCTCACCAAAAAAAAAACAACAACAAAAAGCTATCACAACCTCTAACAACTTCAATTTAAAAGAAAATAAATATACAGGAGAAACTGCGGTAAAATAAACAAAAAAGAGAGAGGGTCCTCATACTGGGTGTCTTCTACCTGGGAAGAGCCCCGCATGCTGTTCCAGGTTATATGACTGAGTCTTTCACTTCAGAGATGCCTCAAAACTTCAAAACCCAGGTTCATCATCCCAAAGGCCACCATTTACCATGCTGTGTCCCATGGGTGTGTAATCACATTACCCAGAGAGCAGGCAACATTTCTGTGCTAGACACGGGTCCCATATGCTCACTGGCTGTTCCAAACAGTCTTACACCCCAGGTCTAAAATCTTCCTATGCTTAAACAGACTAGCACCATGCTGTCGACAGGTCCAGACAAGATCACACACATGGCTCAGCGACCCATCCTGAATAAATGTAAATAAGATGCCTTTTTGTGGAGTTGCTTACACAGGTTACATTCACAGCAGAATACAATCTCCCCAATAGCACTGCTCCGATCTTACTTTGTGTGAAAACGAATGATTCTTTTCCCTCCGCTGCTTATGCACAGCTCACTTTTAGTTATTCAACAGAGCACACTTAGTCCTAAAGATATGGCCAATTTCACTTAACTAATATTTCTTTAAATAATATACTCAAAGCATGATTTTTTTCTTGGTCAAAAGGTTCCAATAAGGCAGAAGGAGTAACTTTGTTCTTAATTGCTCCTGCAAAGCATAGCCAGAATTTTCTTTAACACAAACCAAAATTTCTTTAACACAAAGCTCAAAACATTTTAAAAAAAGAAAAAGAGGGAGGTGGAGTTAGGACTCCAATTAAGGCATTTTTATACACAATCCAACTTGAGTCTTATTCAAAGAAAAGCCTAAAAAGGCATTTCAATAAGGAACGGCAAAAATCGCAATAGTCTATTATCAGCATTGTGGAACTATCATTTGCTCACTTCAAATGTAGCCACATTGAATGTCTCTCCTTCTTTATTCCTTCGTTCTTTCCTTCCACAAGTGCATAGGTTATGTTTTCTGTAGATCTGGGGAAAATGGGCCAGGGGTGGAAGGTCCATCCAGGCCAGAAAGAGTGAACGGCCCATGACTGTTCAGTACAGAAGGAAACTGAGAAAGAAAAAAAAACCACATTATCATCCTATTACTCAACCCAGCTTTCACGTTCTGTCCCTACTATATTCCCTGAGGCAGAAGATGACAGCCACCTGCAGTGGCTCACAGGACAAAGGCAGTAACTATTTATCATGGAAGTATATGATGTCATAACAAAAACTTTAAAGAAAACAATTGTTTGTCCGACATGTTAAATACTAATAGTCTCCAGCCTCCCTTGATGGAACAGAAAGGACAACCCCCGCCCCCCATCCTAAGGCACGCAGGTTTACGTTAACTTCAAATGAGGGTTTTAGGAAGTTCAGTACATGACAACATGCACTTTGGAGTCTAATTCAATTATAAAGCACATCAGACTGTCAAAAAGAGGTCCAGACAGAGATGCCCATCTATTAACTCCATTTATAACTGGTACAAATAGTTACAGGGTGCTCATCCTAGAAAAGGGTCCCCATCATGTATTCTGAGACGAATTCTGTAGGGAGAGTCCAGGCTGAAGCTACGTGAGCACTATGACTTTGCCTACAGTCTCACAGATCACTCTGTAACTCAATTATCTGTTTATGAAAGGCAAAGAAAAATGTAAAAATGAATGGAAAGTTCTCAACACTCTTTCTGTTGAGTAATTTAGAACTTTTTGCAGAAAAACAAAAAACGTTGGGGCTGGCCCCGTGGCCGAGTGGTTAAGTTTGCACGCTCCGCTGCAGGCGGCCCAGTGTTTCGTTGGTTCGAATCCTGGGCGCGGACATGGCACTGCTCGTCAAACCACGCTGAGGCAGCGTCCCACATGCCGCAACTAGAAGGACCCACAACGAAGAATATACAACTATGTACTGGGGGGCTTTGGGGAGAAAAAGGAAAAAAATAAAATCTTAAAAAAAAAAAACAAAACATAAAAGTAGAAAGATTGCTAACTTTCTTCTTTTTCCTTACCATTTCATTTCCAAAAGAACAAATGAAAAGTTAAATTACAAAACATGAGAAAATGTTCCAGGGGGTCACCCCTGAATAAGTGAATGAATCAACCACAAGAAAGCCTACAAGTTATAAAGTCTGGATGTTTTGGGCAAAATAATGGTTAAACACTATAAGACCTTTCCTAAGATTTTGGTAAGACATAATATCATATTTTCAAAAACATATATTTAAAATGTTGATAAATGTCAACTCTGAGTGAGGGGATATGGAGTATTCGATATACTACTCTCAAGAGTGTTCTCTCTTTGTAAAATCTTCAGTTAAAAGGAGGAACTCATGTGCAGAAATGCCCTCAACAGCTATAAAAACACATATACATGTATCTGTGTATTTGTATGAATACATACGTGCCTATGTTTTTTTTCGAAAAAAGATTTCTAGCATTTAAAATGATGAAAAAATTGGGCAAGCTCAAAATTTACTTCAGTATTGAACAATTCTTGGTCTAACACAAATGTATGTAACAGTAAACAATGGAAAGACACTGCTGTAAATATTTATCTGAGCTGTTTGCTGGCTAGAAAATTAACAAAGAAATTCAAAAATAAACCTAAAGAGCACTTATTAAATAGTAGTTTCCAGAGCACTTATTAAATAGTAGTTTCCTAACGATTAAGCTGAAGAGTGGGTACCGCCTGGCTGCCTCTTTCCTCACTTCCCAAGAGACAGGCTTTTAGGTAATTTACCTGGAAAAGCGTGTTAGCACCTTGCAGTCTGGCTGGACTCAGGGGAGCAACAGGGCTGAGAGTGCTCCAAAAGTGGATACTGGAGAGTAAGGGGCTCGGAGTCAGTAAGATGGGTGTCTGCAATACACAGAACAGAAATATTCACTCAGTGACCTAACAGCATTATGTTCTATCCTTGTAATCATACACACATAGCCCGGAACCCAAATATTGTCCTGTTAGCCACTCCAAATATCTCCAAGTCTGAAATTGTAGCACGAGGAAAAACTCAGAAATTATTGTGACAAACTAAGAAAGATAAAGGTCAGAGTATTTTCTAGCAGCTGGCCCCGTGGCCGAGTGGTTGAGTTCACACCCTCCGCTTCGGCAGCCCAGGGTTTCACCGGTTCGGATCCTGGGCACGGACAGGGCATCGCTCATCAGGCCACGCTGAGGCAGCATCTCACGTGCCACAACTAGAAGGACCCACAACAAGAATATACAACTATGTACCGGGGAGATTTGGGGAGAAAAAGCAATCAAAAAAAAAAAAGATTGGCAACCTTTAAAAAAAAAAAAATTTTCTAACCCGCCTTTTGTAGGTTCTTTTCCAAAGAGAAAACACAATCTGAATTCAGGTATTGAGAAATAACGGGTAACTGAGTCAACAACATATTTTTTCTTTAATAATAAGAAAGTCTGGGAATAACCTATCTTTTTAAATGTTTAATGAGACAAACAAATTAAGAACTATCTAGGGGCCGGCCCTGTGGCCGAGTGGTGGCCCAAGTTCGCACACTCTGCTTCGGTGGCCCAGGGTTTCGCCAGTTCAGATCCTGGGTGCAGATGTGGCACCACTCCTCAGGCCACGCTGGGTGGCCTCCCACATGGCACAACCAGAAGGTCCCACAACTAGAACATACAAGTATGTACTGGGGGGCTTTGGGGAGAAGAAGGAGGGGAAAAAAAGGAGATTGGCAACAGATGTTAGCTCAGGTGCCAATCTTTAAAAAAAAAAAAAAAGAAACTCCTAAGCTAACTGCATAAACTCGTTACTCAGCATCACACTCGTCGTTTTTCTTAAGGTTCTCAGAACCTACTGTCTTCTAACTTGAGATTATCACTGTTTTTTTTGTAACACCAAAAAAAAAAAGAGAGAGAGAGAATACTTATTTTCTTTAGGGAGAAGTGAAAAAATCAAAATATTTATTTACTTGTAGAACAATAAATTTTTTAACACAATACTCCAAACCTTTTATTTTGGCAATCCTAACTGAAGTGAGCAATTGGGTTACTTTCACTGGGTTATGTATAATCTTTCCAAGAGAAATCGAAGTAGCAGAATGAGAACTTGAGATTATAAATTCTGGATTTGCTTAAAGAGGTGAGTAAATGCAAACAATGGTGGCATCTAAAGAAAGTTACCTGTGAAAATAGTGCTGGTGTGAGAGAAGCTGTAGGCAGAGAGGGGCTTAATATTCCCAGTGGGCTTGGGTCACTGCCTGTGATCACAAGGGCTGGGGCCAACTCTAACCCTTTAGGTTTCTTGGATCTTGATGAACTATTTGTTTTGTCCTTTTCTGGCAAAAATGAACCCTCATCTTTAGGCTCCAGTGACAAGTTCTCTGCAAGTTCCATTGGCTGAGAAGCCACCGAATCGATGTCTGTGTCAATGTCTGGGTTAGAACTCAGCGGTGGGGAAGGTGTTCTTGGAGGATCTTGCAAAGATGGGGACATGGAGGAAAGAGGAGGCGTGGTGGGAAAAGCGGTGGTTGCACTGGAGGCAGAGGTGGGGGCCTCCAGGGAAGGCAGTCTGGGGGAAGCCAAAGTCTCCAATGCTTGGACGGTTTCTTCAGAAGATGGAGAGATACTCGGGCCAGAAGAAACGGCGGCAGCAACAGGTTCAACTGGTGGCTTTTTGGAAGGTGTTGTTACAAATTTGATGACAGATGGCGTTGGCTCCTGAGGGGATTTTTTCTCGGCCAGTTTCTCAGCTGGATTCTCAATCTTTATAGATTTGAAAAGCTTCTTATGGGAGGAGTTCAGAGAGTTAAGAGTAAATGAAGAATATAAGCCAGAGTGTATGTAGTCGTTGCGGCTGGAGGTCTTGGCTCCAGGGGGAGGCGGCTTCTCTTTCCCCCCACTCTCCATGTCTTTGGAGCTGCTGCTGACCTCACTGAAGCTGAGCATGTCGCACTCTCCCTCAGTCCTGCCCACTGTCATGGGGTCCATCTTCAAAATCTCTGGGTAAGACACAAACTTGTACACAAACTTCTGACCATTCACTTTTTTAATGATATTCTGTAGACAAATAAAATAAGCATTCTTATACTTTCTTATAAACCTACCTTCCACAGCTCATGAAAAGGCTGACCCAGTGAGGTTCTCTATTTGACAAGTAGTTTACTTAAAAGCTTCAAAATCATCTAAATTTATCTAGCCATGCCAAACACAGTCGCTACTATTATGGAGCATAAGAGAAGAACATTTCAATATTTTATTAATAGCTGAACTTACATGCTACATAAAAGCTGAAAGATTTTAATTCTTAACACTCTCAACCAAATATCTATATTAAGTCAAAACGCACTGAACTGCAGTTTCAGATAATTCCACAGGGACAAGCCACACACATCCTGAGAACGCACAAAGGCACCTAGAACACCGCTTCTGCTAAGGCTCCCACTTCCTTCAAAAGCTCCAGGGCTTTCCTACTTCATGTCTCCACACAAGAAAACTGCTAAGACTAACCACTGACGGGTGAAAGAAACTAAGATCGCAGCTTCTCATGACTCTATCATTTTGAGCCATTTATTTTACTTCAGTGCCCAAAGAATGTATTCAAAATAATATGAATTCACAAAAAATTACCATTTGAACTAAGAAATCAAATCTATGTATTAACAGCTATTCTTTAAAGTATTAACTTGTGTTCTCTGGGTTAAACTCAAAAGTAAAAATTAAGTAAAGCTAAAAACATGTACATATATGATCATTTTAAGAGTAAATCATGATATATAAAAGAATATTTACCCCCGAGAATCTCAAATTTCCTTTTATTTCAACCCTATACTCACTTTTTCTTGAAAGACAACTGCAATTAGGAATAAAATACGTATAATGGGAGTAAGGTACTGAGTAAGAGTTTGCTAAGTATAGCTGGATCATTTACACCTTTCATCCTATAAAATAAATTGGATTAAAATAAACCAAGACATTAGCAGCAACAACCTCAACAGAAAAGAACAATTCTTGCTTTGAGGAGGATGTGTACTACCTTTACGTAGTAGTATCTGAGGGCTCGGCTGAGTTTGTCATAGTTCATATTAGGCTTGTTCTTTCGAATGCCCCAGAGGCGAGCCACCTCTTCCGCCTGCAGAAGCTTGAACTCCCCATCATTAGACGTCCAGCAGATCACGTGCTTGTTCTGAGGCTTCTGGAGGAGCTGGAGAAGGAACTGCCACAGAGTGATAGCACTGTCCATAGCAAAGAGCTGGAAGGGGCAGAAGACACAGAACATTAACAGCCAGCACTCACACGACCCCGGACGGCAGGCACTGCCGTCAGCGCTCTAATGTGCGACTCCACTTCATTCCCACAACAATCCTGTAAGACGTTCTACCACAGCCTCAGTTTACTCACGAAAAAACTGATTCATAAAAGAGTTAAGTAACCTGTCTAATGTCACACAAGGAGATGGTGGAGCTGAGATTCAACTCCAGGCAATCTGGATCCTAAGTCCAGACACTTAAGCATGCCACGCTGCTGAAGAAAAGCCTTGCTGGGAGGAAAACCTAGTTCCACAAATTCTAGGGGCAGACCAATGACTGTTAGTCACCAGAGTATCAGTTATTAAATTTTACCTTAAAAACTCATCGCCATATTCTCCAAGGAGACCACCATTTCAGCAGTACCTAAGTCAACCGAGTCGGTCCATTTGCCAGGATACGTACATGTGCGTGTCTCCAGGTGTCCTGGAGGTCTAAGGAATAATCTACTCTTGCTCGACTGCTATTTCTCCTCCAAATAGTTTCCATGATCACAAATGTAATTTACATATAAATTGGCGGCACTGAAAATTCAGCAAATTGTTCCCTGATTTAACTTACAAGTTCTGTCACCATTCTGTCCACAGAGAGTCCATCCTCCTTTGATTTGATTAGCAAACTTTATTTAATTATCCAGATGTGAACTGAAAAACTTTTCAATATCTCAAGTCTTAGGATCTTCCTGTTTAGGCCAGAGTTTCTCAACTTTGGCACTACTGATATTTTGAGCCAGATAATTCTTTGTTCCTGGAGCCTGTCCTGTGCATTGTGGTTTGTTTAAAAGCATCCCTGGCCTCTACCACTAGATGCTAGTAGCAAGCCCTGCCTAGTTGTGACAACCAAAAATGTCTCCAGACATTGCCAAATGTTCTCCTGGGAGAAAAAAATCATCCTGGTTATAACCATCGGTTCAATCATGGAGCAGCAAGGAAATGCTCCCACAAAGTTATTCTGCTCAAAACCTCAAGGCACTTTGTCTGTTAGGAAGAATTCTTTATGGCAAAAACTCTGGGCAAATACACCTAAGCACATCCTAAGAAACCTATAACTCAACTGTACACACACAAAAATAAAACCTTCTTTTCTTTGTCTAGGAATGAGATCTCAATGGATCCTAATAGGACTTGAAAACAAATCAACTCGATTCCATAAAATACTACAAAAACAGGTAAATTAGACTACATCAAAATTTAAAACTTTTGTGCTGCAAACAATACAATCAAGTGAGAAGACAATCAGAATGGAAGAAAATATTTTCAGATCAGAAGGGATTTGGATTAAAAATATATAAAGAACTCTTACAGTTAAAAAAAAAAAAAGAATATAGGCAAAGGATTTGAAAAAAATTTGTCCAAAGAAGATATACAAACGGCCAATAAGCACATGAAAAGATGCTTAACATCCATTAGTTCTTAGGGAAATGGAAATCAATACCACTTCACATCTACTAGGATGGCTGTCATCAGAGACAGACAGTGGAGCAGTGATGGCCACAATGCGGAGGACGGGAAGCCCCCACACACGGCTGGTGGGAACGTAAAATGGGGCGCCCACTTCGGAAAACAGTCCAGCAGTCCCTCAAAATGCTAACATAGTTACCACACGACTCGCAATTCCACTCTTAGGTATATAATCAAGAGAAATGAAAATGTACGTCAACACAGATACTGGTACAAAAATGTTCCTAGCAGCATTATTCATAACATCTAAAAAGTAGGAGCAACCTGAGTGTCCATCAAATGATGAATGGACAAGCAAAATGCGGTATAACCGTACAGTGGAATATTACTCGGCCAGAAAAAGGAATGAAGTACTGATACATGCTACAACATGAACCTTGAAACCATCATCTAACTGAAAGAAGCCAGCCACAAAAGACCGCATATCGTATGATTCCATTTATATGAAATGTGCAGAATAGGCAAACCTATTAGAAACAGAAAGTAAATCAGGGGTTATGCAGGGCTGAGGCATGGGGGATGTGCGGAAAAGAATAGGGAGTGACTGCTAATGGGATGATGAAAATATTATTAATTTAAGATTGTGGTTGTGGTTACACAATTCTGTGAATTTACTAAAACCACTAAATCGGACATTTTAAGTAGATAAATTTTATGTTAGGTGAATTTTACCTCAATAAAGACGTTAAAAACACTACAAACAAAAGTTAGGCCTGAGAAGCCTAATTCTAACAAGCAACTCACAGAGGATGGGGTCCTTAAGGGTTAACTATGCCTGCTTCCAGAAAGGGCAGAAATGAGGAACTATAGTGCAAAATACCTGGGTTTCTACAACTTTCCTAAGACACTCAAAACATCCTCCAATAATCCCCACAGTTATCACTTTGAAGTTGGTTATACAGACACTGTCGTCCAAAAGTAGAGATGGGGCAACCACAGAGAGAGGGGAGATGCCTCCCAACGTGAGAGTTAATGGGGACGCTGAGGCCATGGGTCCAGGTCTCTTTCATCACAGCCACGTACTGGGTTCCTTAAGGAAACCACTGCCCCAGATAGATAAAAGCATTCACATCACCAGCTGGTTGTAAAGAAGTATTACTAAGTGATGATAATCTACAAATAGGAGGCGCTACTTTAATGCTAAATAACCATGCCCACTCGAAATCATAGTTTCCCACAGCCTCACTCAAACTGGATTAAAATAGTAGTTTTATATTATATCCATCAAGTGGGGGATGGAGGGTGGGTGTGTTCCCTGTCATTTCTCTGAATTTACCAGAAAGGCCTTTGTTCTGATGATGCCTGTTCATGGCAAGTTACTTTTGAACTACGTTTCCCGTTTAAACAACTACTGTCAGTCTAAATCTGTCCAAACTACTCTCTAGTAAATTTTAGCTTAACCAAAAAACTCAGTCTCCACATTTCCAGACATCCTCTTCATATCAAGAATGCTTATAGGGGTGTCAGAGAGAGAGAGAGACAGAAATGATGATGACAACAGAAGGAAAGACAGGCAGAGAACCGCAATCTCAAGGCTACTACACACTTGGTGTCTATAATTTCATTTGATTTTGGAAAAGTTCCCCAAACCAAATGCTACAGGCTTAATACCTATCACGTCGATAACGCTTGAGCCCTAGGTGTATAATGGCTAGGCTATACATGCAAAAAGAAAAACAACCGTCAACATCTCCACAATGAGCACACAAGTGCCATCCTGAGCAAGGGGAGGCTCCCGAAAGCATGGGTGTTCCCGAGGTGCTCCGGGTTTAACTTCGGCATGCCCCTTGGTTAGGAGGGGCGTGGCGCGCACTGGGTCAAATGCTGGGGAGCTGCTGGATGCTCCAGGGCAGATCCTAACAGCTGTGGGAAACGCTGATGCCTCTGCAGGACTTTACAGTGCGTCTGGGATAGAAGGCTGCTAGGAGGAAAGAAAAAGGGCCTTGTGGTTTTGGACTGAAGTACTGGAAAAGAATCTTCTTTTGTGAAAAACTAACAGACATAAAATAGACATCTTCAGTGGGTACTTTAAAGGAATATTTTATTTATTCAATTCTGATGTCAGGTTATTCTTTTTTTTTTAAAGATTTTATTTTTCCTTTTTCTCCCAAAGCCCCCTGGTACACAGTTGTGTGTTTTTTCAGTTGTGGGTCCTTCCAGTTGTGGCATGTGGGACGCCGCCTCAACATGGCTTGATGAGCAGTGCCATGTCCGTGCCCAGGATCCAAACCGGTGAAACCCTGGGCCACCGAAGCAGAGTGGGCGAACTTAACCACTCGGCCCCGGGGCCGGCCCCAAGTTATTCTTTGAAAAGGTGGTGAACCTCTTCATTTTAGTTCCTAAAAGTGTGCTATTAATATGAAATTCAATTATTTCCTCAGCCATAAAAGAGAACTAAAGGAAAAAAATTCCAGAAGACAATTATTAAAAAATTACAAAGGTGAAATGAAGAGTCAAAAAATATACTTTTAGGGGGGCTGGCCCCGTGGCCGAGTGGTTAAGTTCGCGCACTCCGCTGCAGGCGGCCCAGTGTTTCGTTGGTTCGAATCCTGGGCGCGGACATGGCACTGCTCATCAAACCACGCTGAGGCAGCGTCCCACATGCCACAACTAGAAGGACCCACAAAGAAGATTACACAGCTATGTACTAGGGGGCTTTGGGGAGAAAAAGAAAAAAAAAATAAAATAAAATCTTTAAAAAATATATATATACTTTTAGGGGCTGGCTTGGTAGCACAGCAGTTAGGGTCACACGTTCTGCTGTGGCGGCCCTGGTTTGCAGGTTTGGATCCCGGGGGGTGTAGCTTGGCAAGCCATGCTGTGGCAGGCGTCCCACACAGAAAGTACAGGAAGATGGGCACGGATGTTAGCTCAGGGTCAGTCTTCCTCAGCAAAAAGAGGAGGATTGGCAGATGTTAGCTCAGGGTTAATCTTCCTCAAAAAAAAAAAAATATATATATACATATATATATATATATATACACTTTTATTCTTGCTATCAGTTTAAAAAAACCAAAAACCTTTGTTTCCTCACAAAAATCTCAAGTTTTCTATAATTAAAGAGTTTTTTTTTTTTAGTAAAAGTATAATGGAGGGAAATTCTTAACTGATCCAAATGAAGGAATCTGACTTTTGAGGGGTTAAATGATGAAAACATTAACTACGTTAACACTTCCAAGAGAGTAGTTAATCCCTGTGCTAAACTGACTTATCAGGGAAAGGAAGTCTTTGCTAAATGAAACCTTTTCCACCCTGAACGTGTTTATAATACATAGTCCAGTTGCTGTGGTGACCCACGGCTCAACTATTTTTCAGAAACAGTAGCTAAGATCCAAAAAAAAGTCTCCAAATTCAGCGTGCTGTCTAGATAAAATAAAGCCAAACTATGAAACGTATCAAGGCTACTTTTGAATTAAGTCATCGTGGTCGTCGAAAAGTAACCAGGTGTATCCAGGTGTATCGCATCCTACGCTGAGAACGTTAAAAGTACACTGTTACATTACAAGGAAACCGGAGACACTTCCCTAACAATGCAACCGAATCCACTTGTGCGGTTTCAACGTTTCAATAAAATCAGAGAGGAGAGAATTCCTGACGGGGGAAGTGGAGTCACACTACATCTTAAGGAAAACCCCACTGACGGCCCTAAATACTGAAGCAGCTCGTTCTCCGCGCGGCGGGCGGCGGCGGGAGGACGTGACCCGCCGGCCAGAGACGGGCGAGCCGTCCGGGGACACTCGGGGCGCCAGCGCGCCGCCCGGAAGGGCAGCAGCCACCGCGCGGGCGAGGCCGCCCGCCGCCCCCGGCCAGGGCCGCCCCCGGGGCACGCATCCAGCCGGGCCTCCGGGGGCGAAGGCGCCTCGGCGGAAAGGGAAGGGCGGCGGGGTGCTGGGCAGGAGAAAACGAAACGAAACTCGACACCGGATGCGGCGCGCCGGGGGCCGCAGCCGCCGGGCCCGCAGGGGCGCAAAGTCCGGGCCGGCGCGCCCTCGGGGCGGCGGCGCTGCGCTCCCGCGGCTCCCTCCCCGCAGAGGGGCCTGCGTCCCGCTCGGGGGCCCCGCCCAGCGCCGCGGGCCCGGGGGCGGCGAGAGCCGGGGCGCCCGCGGCCACCTGCGCGCCCGCCGCGGGACCGGCGGCCGTGGCGGGGCCCCCGGCAGCGCGCCCGCGCCCGCCCGCCCGCGCCCGCCTCCTGCAGCGCCGCGAGCCCGCGCCGCCGACGGGGCGGCGCGAACGGCGACGGGCGCGGGCGGGCCGCTCACCGGCTCCCTCGGGGTCTCCGCCGCGAACACGCTGCTGCTCTCCGCCCGCCGCCTC